TATTGGTGCATCAGTACCATAGAGGACCATCCATGCTAACCATATTGGTGCACAGTACCATAGAGGACCATAATAGAGGAACCATTTTCTAAACCATATGGTGCACAGTACCATAGAGGACCATCCATAGAGGACTTAAATGCCATATTGTGCACGTACCATAGAGGACCATCCATGCTAACCATTTTGTGCAGCATAGTACCATAGAGGACCATCCATGCTAACCATATTGTGCACAGTACCATAGAGGACCATCCATGCTAACCATATGGTGCACCAGTACCATAGAGGGACCATCCATTGCTAACCATATGGTGTGCAACAACGTACCATAGAGGACCATCCATGCTAACCATATGGTGCCCACGGTACCATAGAGGACCATCCATGCTAACCATATGGTGCACAGTACCATAGAGGACCATCCATGCTAACCATATGGTGCACAGTACCATAGAGGTGACCATCCATGCTTATACCATATTGGTGCACTTTAGTACCACAGAGGACCATCCATGCTAACCATATGGTGCATAGTACCCATTACAGAGGACCATCCATGCTAACATATTGTGCACAGTAAACCATAGAGGACCATCCATGCTTTAACCATATGAGGACTCATCCATGCACAACCATAATCAGGACCATCCATGCTATCCATATGGTGCACAATACCTTAGAGGACCATCCATTGCTAACCATATGGAGTGCACAGTACCATAGAGGACCATCCATGCTAACCATATGTGTGAACAGTATCCATTGAGCATCCATGCTAACCATAGGTGGACCATCCATCATGGCTAACCATATGAGTGCACAGTACCATAGAGGACCATCCATGCTAACCTATAAATTCTGCACATACCTGTAGAGGAGGCTTTTTGAATCGTATACCAATATATGTGCGATAACCATAGAGAAGTTTTGCTGACCATATTGGTGGCAATTCAGTACCATAGAGGCACCATCCATGCTACCATATTAGGTGCACAGTACCAGAGGACCTTCCATTCTAAACCATAAGGCACTACCAATAGAGGGACCATCCATGCTATACCATATGGTGCACAGTACCACAGAGGACCATCCATGCTAACCATATTGTGCCACGAGTACCTACAGAGGACCATCCATGCTAACCATATGCTTCACAGTAAACCATAGAGGACCATCCATGCTAACCATATGGTGCAACAGTTGCCAATCAGAGGACCATCCATGAACCATATAGCAAGTGCACGCGTACCACAGAGGAATCCATGACCATTCATGTCACAGTACCACTCTGGACCAAGGTGCTAACACCGTTATACACTGTACCGTAGAGGACCATCACTAACCAAATGCTGCACTGTACCTAGAGGTATTGGAAAACATTATCAGACTTTCATTAGTGCAGCAACCATGAGGGACTCCATGCAACATAGTCAATGACGTCACAGACTAGATGTCCTGTATGGTGACAGTCCACAGAGTCCAATATCATGCAACCATAACTGCACTTTTAGGGTTCTTAAATTGCATAGTAAAATGAATGGGTTAGCCCGACATTTAGGCGTGGGTAGCAAGCCTGGTTGTTTATATTTGACCAAATAACATTTGGGTAACATTGCTTTTGTTTGCCCCCTATCAGCCAAGAACTGCTTGGGTGCAGCAAGATGGCGACTGCCCGATCATGCCCGAAAATGACGTCACCAAGCCTCAGCAGTCCGTCCTACGCGTTACGTCACAAGTCCCAAATCATAACATTGAAAAACATACACTTTCTTTAGGAAAACCCTTTCTCAGCGCAGACTGAATTTAGGCTCAAGAACTGCAACGTGGTGTAGCAAGCAGTGGTGGCCCCTCGTTTGTTTGTAGCCAAGAACTTGATTTGGGCATTTGTAGCATTTTATGGTTTGCCCTAAAATTCACTTCAGCCAAGAAAAGAACTGCATGGGTGCAGCAAGATGGCAACTGCCGATCACCAAAAATGACGTCACCCACGCTCCGTCCTACGCGTTACGACAAGTCCAAATGCATTGAAAATCATACACTTTCTTTAGGTAAACCCTTGCGTCTAAGAACTGCATGGGTGTACCAAGAACTGCATGGGTGTAGCAAGTTGGTTTGTTTGCCCTAAATTCACCTTCAGCCAAGAACTGCTTGGGTGCAAGCAAGATGGTCACTGCTTCACATGCCACAAATGACGGAACCATTAGCCTCGTTCCTAATGCGTTACGTCACAATCCAAATCATAATCATTGAAACATACACTTTCTTTAGAAAACCCTTTTGCATGTCAAGAACTCGCATGGTTGTAGCCAAGAACTGCATGGGTATAGCAAGACGGTTGTTTTGCCCCTATAATTCACTTCAGCCAAGAACTGCATGGTGCAGCAAGATGGCGACTGCCGATCACGCCGAAAATTGACGTCACCACTAAAAGACGCCTCGTCCTACAGCGTTTACATACATCACAAGTCCAAATCATAACATTGAAAACATACACTTTCTTTAGGAAACCCTTTGCATAGTCAAGAACTGAATGGGTGTAGCCAAGAACTGCACGGGTGTAGCAAGATGGTTGTTTGCCCTAACATTGACTTCAGCCAAGAACTGCATGGGTGCAGCAAGATGGGACTGCCGACAATGCCAAAAATGACGTCACCACGCCTCCGTCCTACGCGTTACGTCACAAGTCCAAATCATAACATTGAAAAACATACACCACGCTCTTAGGAAACCCTTTGCATAGTCAAGAACTGCATGGGTGTAGCCAAGAACTGCATGGTGTAGCAAGATGGTTGTTTGCCCTACCCTAACATTTTCTTCAGCCAAGAACTGCATGGGTGCAGCAAGATGGCGACTGCTGATCATGCCGAAAATGAACGTCACCACGCCTCCGTCCTATAGCGTTACGTCACAAGTCCAAATCATAAACATTGAAAACATACACTTTCTTTAGGTTCCCCTTTGCATAGTCAAGAACTGCATGGTGTAGCAAACGACCCAAAAATTCACTGGGAACTCAGCAAGATGGTTTTACATCACATGCTAAAATTCACTTCAGCCAAGAACTAGCATGGGTGCCAGCACCTGCAGGGTGCATGGCAATGGTCACTGCTGATCACGCCGAAAAAATGACGTCACCACGCCTCCGTCCTACGCGTTACGTCACAAGTCCAAATCATAACATTGAAAACATGCACTTTTTTTAGGAAACCCTTTTGCATAGTCAAGAACTGCAAGAACTGGGTGTAGCCCAAGAAGAACTGCATGGGTGCAGCAAAGATGGCGACTGACGATCAACGCCGTCACAAGTCCAAAAAACATGACACATTTCATTTGTGATTTGTGCTGAATGGACAGACATCAAGAACTCAATATGTACAGTTTGGAGAAAAGAACGGAAACTGGGGAACGGGATCAAAACGTTTTCAATACGTCAAGGTGAAGAACGAGGCTCAGGAGGGCAGTATCTTCAATACGAAGCCAAGACCAGAACATGAGGACGTGACCAACAACTAGCTGGAGGGAACTACAAAACCAACCTTCTCTATCTATCCATTCAGTGGTATCTGACCCTTGGCGATTGCATGGATCGTCACTCGTAAGCGACTTTTTTCCATGAATTCTCCTAGCAATTCTTTTACAGGGTAGGTTGCCAGGTCTTTCCCCAAAACCCATCCTTAGGAAGTATTATTTTACTGAAAGGGTGCAAGGGTGGTCGGGGCTTGGAACAGCCATCTGTAGGTGGAGAGAACCATGCTTGGGACAAACATAAATCTATACACAAAAAAAGTAAAAACAAAAAAAATTGGGGGAGACTTAATGGACGACTTGGTCTTCTTTCTCGCAGGCACTCTTCTATATTTCTACGGGGGGTCGTAGCAGTGTCAACGAACCCCCACCACTGTTTTTGATGGTTAGCAATGGCGGCATCTCTTGAAGGTCCATTGGCTCCTCTTTCACTCATAAAGGTTTCCTTTTATTGCGTATTTCTGAGAAATATTTCTGGGATTTAGCCGTACAACAAGGCCACGTTTATCTGTTGATCGCACTTATCTCACGCATCTGTCATCAAAGCCGAGAACGATCCATCTATCTTCCCAGGAAATTAATATTTTATGATGTGCTGGATGTGTATTGTCCTTTCTCTCCGGCACATTCCCCACCGGGGGGTCCCTCTGAGCGGAGGAGATGGAGGATTTAATGTCACACCTGAGGAGAGCTCGGCACTCGGCAGCCTTCGTCACCCAGACCTTCAACTCTTACCTTTCTTTGACAGCCATTATTTTTCTGGAACTGTCTTGGAGGTGGTGGGGGGAGGGGGGACGCATTTCCCCGAAGTGACGGCGCAAATATAATTTTCCTCGCCTCCGTCTGACTTCAAACTAATCGTTTTTCCCCCGATGCCGGCACTAAATGACTCATCTAGAGTAACACCTTCTAGGAAATGTGTAATGTAACGACGAAACGAACATCGGGGCGATCGGCCCCTGTAATGGCGTCACGCTGCCCACGGAGCGCAGAACAGATCTCTACATTTCACCTCCAGTCGCTTTTCTCCTCGCTTGCCGCCACTTTAACCCCTTATAGTCTGGAAAGCTTTACTTTTTCTCTCAAAATATGAGGACTCATTTTTTCAGAGCAACAAAAGATAGGAATCTGCTGCAATGTACATTGATCACCTTGGGGGGGGGGGGGGGGGGTTCAACAAATGTGGAGTCCAACCCAGGGGCGGACTGACAAATCATGGGCCCCCCGGGCAATAGGGGATCATGGGGCCCCTGTGTCCTTGCCCAAACTCAAAAAAGCCTATGAAAAAGGTACCAGGGCATCTCATGGGGCCCCCTACTGACCCCGGGCCCTCAGGCAGTGCCCGAGTTTCCAAATGGTCAGTCCGCCCCGGGTCCAACCGCTTCTCTGCGCCGCCCTATAGCAGAAGTACTGCTCCAGGGAGGCACTGGTGTACAAAATCACATATATAATTGATTTTGCGTTTACTCTGAGAATTACCGAAGGGGAGAGGCCTGTGTATAAATAACACGGATCTCTCCCCTGTCAGCTCCTGCACACTGCTTTGTATGGCTCTGCATAGCAGCATGCATACAGTGAAACACACCCAGCACACAGGTAACCCTTTGATCGCCCCTCATGTTAACCCCTTCCTGCCCAGTGCCATTAGTAATAGGGCAGAGCTGGGCAGCATAAGTGGCAGCACTTCACACAGATATCGGGGCACAGTGCGGGAAGAAGACTTCAAGGGACAAGGGAATGTCAACTGGGACAGTTGGAACGTAATGGGCAACAATGACTGGGCCCAGGGCAGCTGCCCCTTTTGCCCCTCCTTAACCCCTTCCATGCCGCCCTAGAGCAGAAGCACTGCTACAGGGCGGCACGTGTGTGCAAATTCACATATAATACAAGCGTGCTATTCGTGGCCTCGGCTGTCAATCACCGGGTCCCGGCTGGTGATACCCCGCCGGAACTCGGCGATCTCCGTGGATTTCAGACGGGGGAGAGAACTGTATGTAAACAACACAGATCTCTCCCCTGTCAGCTCCTGCACACTGCTTTGTATGGCTCTGCATAGCAGCATGCGTACAGTGAAACACACACAGCACACAGTTAACCCTTTGATTGCCCCTCATGTTAATCCCTTCCTGCCCAGTGCCATTAGTACAGCGTCAGTGCTTTTTATTAGCACGGATCACTGTATTGGTGTCACTGGGGATGTCAGTGACTCCAAGTCAGTCCCCTCCCCCTCAGAGTGGCCGCCGCAGTCCCGCTATAAGTCGCTGATCGCCGCCATTACTAGTTTTAAAAGAAAAATCCCATTATCTATACCGCCATTTGTAGACGCTATAACTTTCACGTAAATCAATTAATTTCCACGTATTGGGGTTTTTTTTCTAGCGAAGACACGGAGCGGGATAGATTTTGGCCAAAATTTATGCCGAAATTATATTTTTTAAGTTTTTTTTTACTGGACATGTTTAATAGCAAAAAAAAAGTAAAAAATATTGTTTTTTTTCTCAAAATTGTCATTTTTTTTTGTTTATAGCACAAAAAAATAAAACGCAAAGGATGTAAATTTAATTTGGGTGCAGCGTTGCATGACTGCGCAATTGTCAAAGTAACGCAGTGCCGTATCGCAAACAAATGGCCTGTTTAGGAAGGAGGGGGATCCTCTGGAGGGGGAGGGGTTTATGCGAAACAGACGACAAAACGCGATGCGATTGCCACGACCCTTTTTTAAAACCTCACCTGACCCCGCAGCTTTCTCATCACTGAGAGTGCCCCAGGTAATTATAATGAACCCGACCCCCCCCATTTAGAATCGGTCAGCACAGGACACGGGAAACAAACAGAATTTTTTTCAGAGCAACAAAAGGTAGGAATCTGCCGCAAAGTTTGTTACAATCCCTTCCTGAGGGTTAAATGCTTCTAAAGGGATGCAGACCCCGCCGCTTTCCTCATCAGAACACTGACAGTGCCCCAGGTGATTATAATGGACCCGACCCTCCAAATCAGATTCGGTCGACATGGGGAAACATACAGATATTTTTTTTAGATCAACAAAAGTTGGAATCTGCTACAAAGTTTGTTACAATCCCTTCCCGAGGGTTAAATACTGCCAGAGGGATGCAGACCCAGCCGCTTTCCTCATCACTGAGAGTGCCCCGGGTGATTATAATGAACCTGACCCCCCCATTCAGAATCAGTTGGCACAGGACACGGGGAAACAAAGATATTTTTTCAGATCAACAAAAGGTAAGAATCCGCTGCAAAGTTTGTTACAATCTCTTCTTGAGGATTAAATACTGCCAAAGGGATGCAGACCCCGCCGCTTTCCTCATCACTGAGAGTGCCCCAGGTGATTATAATGAACCCGACCCTCCCATTCAGAATCGGTCAGCACAGGACACGGGGAAGCAACCAGATATTTTTTCAGATCAACAAAAGTTGGAATCTGTCGCAAATTTTTTTACAATCCCTTCCCGAGGATTAAATACTTCTAAAGGGATGCAGACCCCGCCGCTTTCCTCATCAGTGAGAGTACCCCAGGTGATTATAATGAACCCGACCCTCCCATTCAGAATCGGTCAGCACAGGACACGGGGAAACATACAGATATTTTTTTAGATCAACAAAAGTTGGAATCTGCTACAAAGTTTGTTACAGTCCCTTCCCGAGGGTTAAATACTGCCAGAGGGATGCAGACCCCGCCGCTTTCCTCATCACTGAGAGTGCCCCAGGTGATTATAATGAACCCGACCCCCCCATTCAGAGTCGGTTAGCACAGGACACGGGAAAACTGTTATTTCCAGATCAACAAAAGGTAGGAATCTGCTGCAAAGTTTGTTACAATCTCTTCTTGAGGGTTAAATACTGCCAGGGGGATGCAGACCCCGCCACTTTCCTCATCACTGAGAGTGCCCCAGGTGATTATTATGAACCCGACCCTCCCATTCAGAATCGGTCGTCACGGGACACGGGAAAACAAACAGATATTTTTTCAGATCAACAATAGGTAGGAATCTGCCGCAAAGTTTGTTACAATCCCTGCAATGTCACCCGGGGGGGGGGGGGGGGGGGGGGGTTTATTTATTTTTTTCAACAAAAGTGGAGTTACTGTTTAATGCGACACATCGAACTATTACACCGTAGATGTGAGTCACCCCCGATTAGTCACCATGCGAGTATTTCGCCCCCACGGCTATTAATGGCGCCTTTTATCCCCACACATAAACACTGGAAGTGGTTAAGTCCTCACAATTCGCATCTTTCTTTTTTTTTTTTCAGAGCAGGCGCAGCGTTTACTTCCCATTTTTTTTTTATTTTCCCCCTGCCTGTGTGACATTTAGCTGTTTGATTTCCATTAATCACACGGTTATAATTGCTACAGGCTGTGCGCGTTCTGCGGGCTCACAAATGAAAACTTGATATGCAGAGAGGAGGATGAAGCAAAAACCTAAACAGATTACACGGACGCGGGAACGTTCTATTAAAGGGAGAAGTAATGAAATGACTGCGCTTAATCTCATTTAGGAGCCTTGGGTAAAAAAAAAAAAAAAGAAGAAAAAAAAAAAGAAGAAAAATAAAGAAAGGAAAACAAGAAGAAAAAGAAAAAAAGAAGTAAAAAAAAAGAAAAAAACTAAAAAAGATAGAAAAAAAGAAAGAAAAAAAGAAAATTAAGGAAGGAAAAAAAGAAGAAAAAAGAAAAAAAAAAAAAAAATGAAAAAAAAAGAAAAAAGAAGAAAAAAAGAAGAAAAAAAAGAAAGGAAAACAAGAAGAAAAAGAAAAAAAGAAGTAAAAAAAAGAAAAAAACTAAAAAAGAAGAAAAAAAAGAAAGAAAAAAAGAAAATTAAGGAAGGAAAAAAAGAAGAAAAAGAAAAAAAAATAAAAGAAGAAAAAAAATGAAAAAAAAAAAAAAAAAGAAAGAAAAAAAGAAGAAAAAAATAAAGAAAGGAAAACAAGAAAAAAAAGAAAAAAAAAGAAGTAAAAAAAAAAGAAAAAAAAAAAAAGATAGAAAAAAAGAAAGAAAAAAAGAAAATTAAGGAAGGAAAAAAAGAAGAAAAAAAAAAAAAAAAAAAGGAAGAAAAAAAAAATGAAAAAAAAGAAAGAAAAAGAAAGAAAAAAAGAAGAAAAAATAAAGAAAGGAAAAAAAGAAAAAAAAAAAAAAAAAAGAAAAAAAAGAAAAAATGAAAAAAGATAGAAAAAAAGAAAGAAAAAAAAGAAAAATAAAGAAAAAAAAAAAGAAGAAAAAAAAAATAAAAAAGATAGAAAAAAAAAGAAAGAAAAACAAGAAAAAAAAAAGTAAAATAATAAAAAAAAAAAAGAAAAAAAGAAAAAAAAAAAAGAAAGAAAAAAAAAAGAAGAAAAAAGATAGAAAAAAGAAAGAAAAAAAAGAAAAAAAAAAGTAAATTAAGGAAAAAAAAAAGAAAGAAAAAAAAAAAGAGAAAAAACCCCCCAAAAAATAAAGAAAAAACCCATTCAGGTATTACTTTGAAACACCCTCCACGTTTGCTAATGAAGCCCAAATAGAGCAACTTCAATGGAATTTACCTTTGTGGCCCTAATGCAGGCCATAGACGGGTCGAACATCGGCTGATTTAAAAAAAAAAAAAACGAAAAATCAGTCGTTCGATCGGCCGCCGTTACCACCAACGTTAAAAAAGTCGGCCGATTTTCAACCCGTCTACGGCCGGCATAAAGCATCCGACCGCGCCCGGAACTTCAAGTGGTTGTAAAGCTCAGACCTGAAAGATGAACAAAGCATATCCCTCTACAGGTCCTCTTTAGCCCCTCGCTCCCTGCAGAGGATTTACCCCCCCCCCCTTCCTGACCCGGCCATTTTTTGCGTTACGGCGCTGTGTTACTTTAACTGACAATTACGCGGTCATGCAACACTGCACCCAAATGAAATTTACGTCCTTTTTTCCTCCACAAACAGAGCTTTCTTTCAGTGGTATTTGATTGCTTGTACGGTTTTTTATTTTTTGCGCTATAAACAACAAAAAAAAACGCCAACAATTTTGAGAAAAAAAAAAATGTTTTGGATTTTTTTGCTTTTAACCTCTCGCCCTCCAGAGGATTCCCCCCCCCCCCCTTTCCTGACCAGGCCATTTTGTGCATTACTTTAACTGACAATTGCGCAGTCATGCAACGCCACACCCAAATGAAATTTGTGCCCTTTTTTCCCCCCACCAAATGATTAAATTAGATGAAATGACTGTATTCAATCTAATTTAGGGGCCTTGGGTAAAAAAAAAAAAAAAAAAATAAAGAAAAAAAACACAAAAAAAAGAAAAAACAAACAAAAAAAAAAGAAAAAAAAGAAGAAAAAAACAAGCGACTTCAATGGAATTTACCTTTGTGGCCCCAAATCATCCAACCGCGCCCAACATTTTGAATGGTTGTAAAGCTCAGACCTGAAAGATGAACAAAGCATATCCCTCTACAGGTCCTCTTTAGCTCCTCGCCCTCCAGAGAATCCCCCCCCCCCCTTCCCAGGCCATTGTATGCGATACGGCGCTGTGTTACTTTAACTGACAATTGCGCGGTCATGCAACGCCGCACCCAAATGAAATTTACGTCCTTTTCCCTCCCACAAATAGAGCTTTCTTTTGGTGGTATTTATTCGCCTGTGCGCTTTTTATTTTTTTTGCGCTATAAACAACAAAAAAAGGCCAACAATTTTGAGAAAAAAACCCTATATTTTTTACTTTTTTTTTGTAGACACAGTGGTCAGGTACCGTTGGGGATTGTAGACGCAGTGGTCAGGTACCGTTGGGGATTGTAGACGCAGTGGTCAGGTACCGTTGAGGATTGTAGATGCAGTGGTCGGGTACCGTTGAGGATTGTAGATGCAGTGGTCGGGTACTGTTGAGGATTGTAGATGCAGTGGTTGGGTAACGTTGAGGATTGTAGACGCAGTGGTCGGGTAACGTTGAGGATTGTAGACGCAGTGGTCGGGTAACGTTGAGGATTGTAGACGCAGTGGTTGGGTAACGTTGAGGAGCATAGACGCAGTGGTCTGGTAATGTTGAGGATTGTAGACACAGTGGTCGGGTACGTTGAGGATTGTAGACGCAGTGGTCTGGTAATGTTGAGGATTGTAGACGCAGTGGTTGGGTAACGTTGAGGATTGTAGATGCAGTGGTCGGGTAACGTTGAGGATTGTAGACGCAGTGGTCGGGTAACGTTGAGGATTTGCAGACGCAGTGGTCTGATAATGTTGAGGATTGTAGACATAGTGGTTGGGTAACCGTTGAGGATTGTAGACGCA